TCCTTTTTATTTTGCTGTGCTTAATAAATCAGCTTCCTCTATTTTATTCATTTACACATATAAGATTTTGTTTCTCTCCTTATCTCTCATACCTGTATCTGAAACAGCGTTTTTGGCACATTTCGAACCCAAATCAAAATCAATACCAGAAACAAATTCAACTTACAGACAATAGAATCATTTTATGTTTTAAAACTATCCGTTCATCTGCTCTTTTAACAGATATGAGGCAATATGGCACCTTCAAAATAAAACAAATCACAAGATATCAGGGAGATAGAAATTCTTAACTGTAGGGTTGCTATGAAACTCTTAACTGTAGGGTCTCTTATAACCACAGTCAATTTGAACTGAGATTCCCTAAAGAATTACATCAACTGGCTAGAATAAAAAATTCAATCAGCTCAAGTAATGAAATGTGAAATATTGGGAAATAAGAGCTTAGGATGGGAAAAAGTGGTGGGTCTTCTCAGGGAAAGCCTGACGGGACCTAAACAATACCCACTCCTTCTCACCAAATAAAGATGACATCTCTAACATTGTAGAGTCCAAACAACCATCTGCTACTCATCCAGGAACAGGCTAAAAAATCTCATTTGCTGATCAGGACAGCTTTGATCTGGCTTGGGGCCTGGTGTCATCATCTCCTGTTTCCTTCATTCTGATGGACAGAAATGATATTTTCTTGAGTAATCTGAGAAGTTCTGTGGAGAAAAATTCTGTTTCTGATTTGGGGAGTGAATTGAGGGAATTTGGATCGTGCAGAATGCGCCACCAGGCTTGAAACCAAATTCCGAGACATTCTTTAACATGGACTCTATACTTAAAGTGCTTGCTTCATTGTTCCATTTTCACATGTAGAATCTTTGGACTCCCTGCTCCATGATGTGGACCGAATGCAACTTTTCCTTTAAATTGCACTGTCAGATTTTGCATGCAAGCATTGTGATTAATGGGGTTACCCCATGTGGTTCCAGTTTTCGGAACATCATTTTTCTTCAAGATTGCATGCTCCTTGGTGGTCTTCGCCTTTTCTTTCTAAAGATAGACATAAAAATTATCTGATACTGTGGCTTCTCTTAATGATGAAAACTCTGCCTTAGATCTTTCTGGTAATTTACACCTAAATATCTTTACCACTGACAGTAATTTCCTCTTGAAATAACCCAGCTGGAATTTCCACTTAAAGCAGAATGAGAAGGGAGTGAGGATGATTTTGTTCCTTTTCTCTCTCCATTCCTTTCAACCTTCTTCCTCTCCATCACCTTCCTGCTCCTCTCCCTTTCCACCCCTGCTCACTACTCAAGTTTCATTAAGTTGAAGTGGTTGAAAAAATAAAATAAATAAATAAATACTACTACTACTAATAATAATAATAGCACAATGCTGATTTGGTATTCCACAGGATTGCCCGTATTAATAGCATTTACCACTGACTTGGTTTTATATGTAAAAGTACTGAATAGCTTTATATTTATATATATATATATATATATATATATATATATATATATTAAGATTTTTATTGGGGAATTGGGGGGATGGGAACAGTGCTGGGGAATTGGGGGAAGGGGAACAGATAAGTTGCTG